AAAGATTGACCTTCATTCTTCCCTTGTCCTTTTGTTGGTTGCTGTTGTTCAAGTGATTCTTGCTCATTTCCTTAATATTAGTAAGTTCTTCAGGAAAGGGATCATGTCTTTATATTTCGAGTGCAAACATCTTTCCATGTTTTTGATGCTGAATTAAAAATTAATAATGATATCATTCAGATCAATCTCCCTATCAAGGGGTGACTGTTCCCTTTTATACTTTTAGCTTTGTCTACATGTGCCATTCCAAAAGGATTACACTCCTTCTATTGGAGATTTTTCTAAAACTCTTTTCTTAACATTATTCTATTAGTCCCAGTTATACTGATTTCTAGTCAAAAGATGCTTGCCACATATTTTAATATCACTTATGCAATCATGTAAAATAGAGAAATGAATGAAAAAGTTTTCTGGAGAATTTTTTATAAACTCAATTCTCTTCTTGCATACATAGCCTAGTATGGGTTGTATGCAAGAAGCTCCCTTTTTCTGATGATACTTTTAAAATATGGTAACAGTATACATCCAGCATCCTAACATATCCTGGGCATGTCTACATATGCATGAATGTGCCATAATTGGCACTCTGTGCAGTACTGCTAGAGCACAGTTTTTACATGATGCTAATGTGCAGTAGACTAATTCTGCTGTGTATTAGCATGGCTTTTCCTGTGACATGTTAATGTGCAGTAGAATTAGTCTACTGTGCTTCTAGCATCTTGTGTAGACATACTCCCTTAGTAGGAAAATGTTATCAGTGTTTGATGTCTAGAAAGTGAGATCATTATGGAAAATCCTGATACTTACTGGGCATGTTTATATGTGCATTAATGTGCTTTAATTAATTTGCATTAAATCTAGTACCTCCGGGCTCCTACACGCATATGGGGAGTCTGTTCTGATGCACTGGAAATCCAGCAGAGCAATTTTCTGAGCACGGAAATTGACATGCTCTGGCAGCCTTGCACATCATGTGTATCAGCATAGCCGCACATCTCCATACTGACAAAATGGCAGCAGTGAGCTTTGAAATAAAACACATCCAATGAGCTTTATTTCAAATTGCCCCACCGCCTTTATTTCAGCACGGGGGTGTGCGGTGACACACATATACTCACTAATTAAAGCTAATTAAAGCATCTGGTGCAGCACTGGGAACACAGGTAAAAATGCCCTCATTGTAAGGTACTAGGAAAATTTGCATTAGCCTGTTTTAATGTGCATTAACTAAAGAGCACAGTTTTTAAATGATGCTTTAATGTGCATTAAAACATGCTAATGTGCATTAAAGCACACATGTAGACATGCCCACTAAGTTCTAAATTATGGACACATGTGCGATCTGCACTAAGAATACATCAGGATAAGTATAACTCCTAGTTCTCTGTATTCACAATAGGAGAGGTAGCAGTTAAAATGCAAATTACATTCAGAACTGTTCTAACAAGGAGACAGACAAACAAAGAATCCTATTATTTAAAAATGTTAATAGTTTTGACATGAATTGTAGGTGTTCCAGGATAACCTTTGCTTAGGGGAAAGAGATTAGTTGCTTATGATCCCAATTTTAAAATACGTTTGTTTTTTTCCCTAGAGATGCATCTGTTTAGTGTAGTGCTTGAAAACTTTTCATACACATCTAGGAAACAGTTTTAAGAGCTTTCAGTCACCTTAGTATAAGGGAACTGTATTTTACAATGAAGTTCAGAGAAGTGCAAAAAGACTCATTTGCAACCTGGAAGTTACAATGAAAAATAAAAAATAATATAGCTTATGGATGAAAAGTTGAAGAGGTGATTTAACCACAGTCTATAATTCCCCATACAGGAATAGCAAATTTAGCGCTGGAGGTTTTGTTAACCTTGTAAACAAAGGTGTCATAAAAACCAAGGGCTGGAAGTTGAACACAGCAAAGTTTAAGCTGAAAATAACATGTATATTTTTAACAGTGAGTGCAGTGAACCACTGAAACACATTGCCTAGAGATGTAATAAATTCCCTATCTCTCGTCATGAATGCTTTCTTTAAAGATATCCTCTAGTTCAGAAACGCACAATGTGTGGCCTGCAACAGTAGTATTAGTGGCCTGGTGAGTCAGCCAGACAGTGTATGTGCCTGGGTGGCCCTCCAATGGAGAATATAACTTTTAAGTGGCCCTGCTCTAATTCCAACATGAGTTGTTGGGATTGGTGCAGGAAACACTGGGTAGAATCTACAGTTTGTGTTATGTAGAAAGTCAGACTAAATGACACCTTTAAAACTATTAAATAATCTCCTTCAGGTCACTCATAATCTCCATCAACCCATTGATGCTTGTGCCTGAATTTTTCAATTCTTTTTCATGTTGGTGAGCATTTACTTATGTGTGTTGTTCCACTGATTTCATGTGTATGCTATGAGAGACAGGGACCATTCTACATCAGTAATGGTGGCAGAACCTGATCATAAGAGGTTATTTTGATAAGTATAAACACAGTTTGTAGAGCTGAGTATGTCCCTTAAAAGCACAAGTGTCTGGGTTAATGGGTCAGTGGAGAAATGCTTTGTGATTCTGAGTTTCTCAGTGTGAGTACCCTTCCAGATGCACCCTTTCCTTCCCCCTACAAAAAAACAAAAGAGCAAGTGGAGAAGGATTTTTCTGTTTTCTACTAACTGCTGTACAACTTTAGGTGAGTCACTTCTCTCTTTACTTCAGTGTCACTGTCTAGAAAGTAGGATAATGACACAATCTGCTTGAAAATGTATTTGAGTCCTATAACAGCTAAGCACTAATTATCATTGTCTTGACTTCACCCTAATCTAGGTACACTGGGGGAGTGAGCCAGACACAGTGATCTCTATTCTCTAGGTGTATCATTCTGGCACCCTGGAGAATACAGTTACTAACCGCATTTGCACTAGTGCACCAGAACAAAGTAACTACAGGACAGGTGGCACCAATTCGCTTCCTCAAGATCAGGCTGTTATCGGTAAGGAAGGATTGTACCAGGATCAATATGGTTTTTGTTTATTTGCTTCGTGGTAGTATAAAAGCTGGGGTAATTTATTGAAGAATTTTGTTGTTTCAGTACGACTCTCAAACATACTGACATTAGCTTGGCTTGTCAGTATGATTTGTAACTCCATCCAGCCTGCCAGATTGATTAATTTCTTAGCAATAATAACAGCTAGATATTGACTTCTTTTAATGTCACTAACAAGATTTATCAAACAAAGATGATAAATCTTAGTATGCAGCTGGTTACTGGGAACTGTGTTAAACTATATTATCTTAGGGAAAATTCCAGAAGGCACCATGCCTGCCTCAGGCAGCCCAATCCCTCCCAGAACTTCCCAGCATGCCGTAGTTTTTGAATATTGCCCTCTGCCTTTGGATGTGCAGCCATGCTCCTGCACGATGCAGAAGATGTATAAACTCAGCTCTTTCTTGCCCCCTTTTGTATGGTTTGCATTGCTATAGCTCTATGAAGAAATAAAAATCCTTGTTACTTAACCCCATGAATGCCAAGCACTAGCTAGTGGACTGTAAATGTCACAGTCAAGAATTCTGGTTAACTTGGCTAACCTACTAAAAAAAGCCAGGAGTTGAGGATCAGTTGTGGAAATGGACAGAGGTAGCTTAATAGAGAATTGTGGGAATGGTAACAAATCAGAGACCTAAAGAGAGTGGTTGAAGTTAGGATGTATGATGACCTTGTCTGTATAAGAAAGTGGCACCAAATTCACTAAACCAATTTAATGAAATCAATGCAATGAAATGAGTGGGAATTGTCTTGTTTTGGTTTAATCGAGGTTTATTTCAGTTTAGCTTAAATAGGTTAAGTTTAAACTGAACCAAAACAAGCCACAGTGAGAGTTCAGCATGTCATGGAGATACAGTTTGGCCAGGGAACAGGAGCAGTAGGAGAGAATGGGAACCTGAGTGACTTGGAACGATAACTCTTAAGAGGTACTGCAGGCGCAAAGGCTGATATAGATATGACCCAAACAACGTATTGGTTTTTGGAGCAACCCTCACTGAAATGCTTGCTTTCACTTATGCAGGCAGGAAATTCAGGGAGAAAAGACATTTCTTTTTCCACAGGAAAACTCCTGATTTAAAAAAAATCTTTATGTTCTGATGGGAAAATATTTTATTCAGTTATTTTTGACTGGGCCTAGTCAATAATTTTTCCCAAAAGATAATATTTTTTGAGGGGAAAAAAGGCATTTGATGAAAACACTACTGAAAAATGTCAACCAGTCCTAACTATAACATTTATGTCTTTATTACTTGTGGGGCATGGATGTTGCCTTTGGAAATCCTTATGGTTAGCAAACAGCAAACCCTAGAACTACTGATACTGAAAATACTAAGGGATGCCTTGTTCCCTGTTTCAGAACATTGTTGCAGCCAAAAAAGAATAATTAAATGAGAGATCATTCAAAAGATAATGAAAGTAAATACATTCTTTAAAAATGTAAATAGACTGTTAAACTTCAAAATAGATGCTCTGCATATATCAAACCTACATCTGTACTAGAGAAATCACAATGATTATCACTCTTCATACTTCAAGGCACAAGTTAATCACCAGCTAAAATCATTAACACACAGCTTAAACTACAGGTTGGATATGCATCTAGCTGGGGTCATCTAGACCCAGCACTCTTTCCTGCCTATCAGGGGGTCGGACTCGATGATCTACTGAGGTCCTTTCCAACCCTAACATCTATGAATCTATGAATTAAGAAACTCCCCCCAAATTTGCCCTTTTTTCACCATGGTGTAGCATTACCCAGATGACCAACTGCACTTTAGATTTGTCAATTTCCACCTTAATTATCATAAACTACGTCAGACATTACATTAGATGGACCTATATTGATCTAAACCAATAACTTTGGTCTAAGTTCTTATGACCACATACCCCTAATCTATCTTCCTGCTTCAATTCTGATGGGCAAACTATGTAAGGGTTTAACATTTTCCATTGTATTTTCTTTAGTAATACATTTACCCAGGACCCACGGTAATATCATCCACTCGACGATGGTTGGCGGTGGTCCCTGCATGTTCAAGTCTGACCTGTCAATGTGCTGAGAGGCAAGCAGCAGCAGAAAGAGAAAAGTCAAGTAGGATGCAGTATGGCAGATAAACTTGATAAATGGCTTTCTGATGAACAGCCCCAGTGGGCTTTTGGGAGCTATCAGGTAGCACACAGAGAAGACAGGGAAAAGGAGTCCTATCACAACACATGTTAGCATCTTCCCTGCCCAGTGTCGTCTCCTCCAGCCTGGGAACTCATCGTACCAGCGAGATGCAAGCAGCTGCTGACAGTTGGGCTGGGCAACAAACTAAAGAGAAAAAAGAGAGAAAACAGTAAATATGATGTTATTGTTAATGTTTCCTTTGCAGGTCAGCCTTAAGGCTAGTCTGTGACTGACCTCTTGGAAGGCATAAAAAGGAAGTCTACTCAAAACAGCTGTTTCTGCAAGCAAAGACCTCTTTTTCCCTCCTTCCTTTTATGAGCAAATCAGTGGTAAAGGGGGTGGAGAGAAAAAGGGGGCATGACTTAGCGCTCTCTGCTTGTGCATCTGTTTCATCCTAAGTGGTGGCAAGGAATTGTGTGCCTCCATAAAAGCAAGAGAACCATGGGAGAGAAGGGTTCTGATGCATACTTACTGAATGATTATTTCTCGTGATACTACTGGAAGAAGTGTGTAACTTTTATTGTGGACAGTATATAATCTAGCCTTTAACATTCACTTTTTAAGTTCTTGATCTAGTAAAGTGTTAATGAGAATCTAAAACAAATGAGCTGTGAACATAGATATATCAAAATTGGGATTTAATTTCAAGCATATATTAGGAAAATGTTCACATTATTCACTCAGATCCACTTGACCAGAACTCAAAGAACATTAGATAAAAGTTGCTTGCTATAGACACATATAATGCTGTTGTGGGTTATAGGATTATAATGTAAGATCTTTGTGCAGTAAAACTGAATTCTGTCATCCAAAAATGAACTGTTCCTAGATAATTTTCTAAGACAGCTCTAGCTTTTTGATATTTCTATTTGATCTTTCTGCAAAGGTCTTGCAAAACAAATGTAAAAAGCTAATACACTCTAATGTTTCTTTCCCTCAAACCTTTGCTATGTTCCATTTCTATCGTATACAGATTTTTACAGTATAGACTCCTATCACCTATTTTCATTTCTATATAATGATATTGTCCTCTTAAAACTAACCTTAAAAGAATATCTTTATATTTCTTTTTTTTTCATATAGTACAGTATATAGATAGTGAATATCTATATATTGACTTTCATTTTCTCAAGAAAGTTTGTGGTATATTTCAGGCTTCTCCAGGCTATTACAATTGAGAATGGGAGGCATATAGTAAACACATAATAAAACCAAAATGAGCAGATACAATAAAATTGGAATCAAATAGAGTAAAGGTGAAAAAATAAATGTTTCTTTTCACATCACACACACACACACACACACACTAGATTAATTGATTGATAGATTAATTGAAACTGGAAAACAATACCGTCAAGCACAAATAATTTTCTATTTTGTTTCTTCTGTTCAGTTTAGGGAATTAAAAAAATATCACTCAAATTTTAGTTACCTTGGAATTCTAATCACATTTGTGTTGAGTAATTATTAGTTTAGTGTACTTTTGATGATATAATCATACTCATAATTATCATGTTGAGTAGTGTAATGTAATGTAATCATGATGAGTAGTAATTCACTTCTCAAACAGTCTCTGGAAATCACTGGGACTACTGGCACAGGAAAATCTTCCTCAATGTAGACAGAATTTGGCATCAAGTAAAACATTAATGTGCATCTTTCTGTGTATATCTGGGCCTCGTTAGTAAAAAATTAAAGAGTACAAACTCCCAGGGCCAAATTCCAGCCTGGTGTATGCCAGTAGAACTCCATGTGAAAGATACCTGCTTACCATATACCTGCTCTGATGTCAATCCTGTGACAGCTAATTGTTTACTTTTGGAGAGAGGTGAAAAGAAAAAGAAAAGATTGTTGAGTAAAAGTATCTTTAAAGGACCTATAAAGGAAAATAATACACAATGTTCTCTGTCTCATTTATTAGGAAAAATACAAACCTTAAAGGTTTCAGGATGTTTATCTCAAGATAGATGTGCCTACAAATGATATCATATGCAATTAGAGCAGATGGTTTCAAAGTGTTGTGTTGCCAGACTTTTAACAAGGGTCTCCCTCAAAATGTTTCCACCTCATCTCAAAATACATTTTCCAGTCCCTGAATATATCTTGCTCCTCCCCCCCTCCCCGAATCTGACTGTTCTATGCTGCATTTTTCATCAAAATAACTGTCAGTGCAATGTCCATCTCACATCCTAAAAGTTCATCAGTTCCATGGGTTTTTTTCCCTCGGTTTGTTTCTCTCACCCCTCAGACCTTCCATAATGGATGCAGGGAATCTGGTGAAAGGGTCAATCTTCTCTGCATGGTTTGTGGTTTCAGCTGGAAATAGGTGTCTCTCAGCTTGTCAGAGGTGGGTAACTGGGAATAGCAGTGGTTGTGCTGAATATGGTAGTGCTGAACGATCTGGGGAAATAGTGGGTTTTAGGTACTCTCCAAATATTGGCTTTTCAAACTTTGGCCAGATTTAGGTTAGCACTGGTAGGAAGCTTGCAAAAACTGAAGGAATTATGTTAGATGTTGCTGCTTAGCTCTGCTTCTTTTCCCCTTCATGCTGTTCTGTAGAGCCAGGAAAGAACAATAGCCTGAAACATCCAGGCTGACTGATCTAAACTATGACTCTAACAGAAAACTGTGTAACTTAGATCTATTCTGTCTCAGGCTTTTTGAATGTCTGTACCTAGCCAAAGAGGACTAAAACTATTAATGTGAAATATAAAATATTGAACTGACAATGAAGCTTGTTAACCACAAGGTTCTTTGGGATTTATCCATTCATAGTGTGCAGGGGTAAAAATGTTTACCTCTCCCCTCTGACTCCTGAAATACATGGCTTTTCAGGTACATTAGCATAATGAAATAGGATTTCAGTCAGGCACCTAATTTATTCAAGTGCCTAGAAAGGGGAACAGGTTCTGGTTGTTGATTTTTTTCGTTTGTTTTTTAATAGTAAAAAACATTTTTTGCACAAGGCCAAAATGCTAGTTTCATTACCAAGGACCTGCATAAGTCTGCTTCTGCTCAGCAGTAAGTTCCAAGAGAACTGGACAAACAGTTTTACATGAGAATATTATCCTTGAAATTGGGATTGATATTCTCTGAAAAATCTCTTTATGGGACAGGTTTGGATTTAATCACTGAGCTATTTGCACTGAGGCTGACACTGTAATTAAAGTATCTTTCACAAGATGATGGAAACCAAATCGAATTCTCTAAAAAACAATTAACATCAAGAACCTTCTATAATTTAAACACAAATTTAAAATGAAAACAGCATGTCTCTCCCATTTATCTTTTCCTTATCTGCTTGGTTTATGAGCAAATGAAAACCAAAAACAATGACCTAGAAGTGCTCCAGTAAATGCCAAACAGCAATTTACTCTATATACAAATACCAATGAGATAGCAAGTAATATACTTTAAAAAAAATATAGTTGATGTAAAAACATGAGACAAGAAAAATAGTATGCACCATAACATACATAAAAATGCCACAACACTATTAGATGAGCTGTAGACATAGAAAAGAGGTTGTAGCAATGCACAACACAGGCAGAAATATATAACAGAAGCCATAAAGCAGTTTGTACACATGATATATTACATTTCTGAAAGGTCCAGACCTCTAGTTTCAGGCTGTGGTTTTATCTAATAACAGTATTGGCATGGCTGGGGAATAATTTCATGATGCAACAATAAATCTTGTTCTTCACCACATCATTTTCTTTGCACTGCCCAGTTCTCTCAGCTACATAGATGACCCATGCCATCTTAAAGTGTTTACTTTACAACTGTAGTAACTGTTAATCAGTTGTAGACAAATGTTTGAGATTTACCCTTGTTAGCTTCATTTATAAAAGCATTATTTGAAAATATTGCAAATTTCTGATATACTTTCCAGTAGTGTAATAACGATGTTGTAGCCATGATGGTCCAAAAATTATGCAAGAGGAAAGGATTTCTTAGGGTGATATCTTTTATTGGATCAACTATGTAGTTGGGATAAATTTAAACAAGCTTTCAAATGCAAGATATTCTTCCTCAGGTCTCTGGTCACAGGGAGCATTTTTACACGGGCAAGCACTGCAGCACCAGGTGCTTTGAAAGGCACCTGGCAGTGTGATGCTTGCAGTTGTATAAGCGGTGAAATGTGTGTTAGCACACAGAAAATGATGGCAGTGAGCTTTTGAACTAAAGCACCTTCAAGGTGTTTTAATTCAAAACTGCACCGCCTCCATTTTCTCAGCGCTGATGCACATTTTGCCGCTTATACAACTGCATGTGGTGCAGTGCAGTGCATGTCAGCTCACGTGCGGAGCAGACTTGATTAATCGAGTCTGCTCAGAAGTGGCAGATCTCTAGCACATCGTGCAATGAAAAAGTATGTGTATGCCAGGGAGCCAGGTATTGCATAATAAAAAACACCAGAAGGGACAGAATGAGAATTTTTTTTCAGGGGATTAGCAGAAGAAAAGAAGCTGATTACTGAGAGATCAAGGCCTATCAAAAGGGAGGAGGGCCATTCTCCCTTTCCTGTATAGAAATAATTCAGTTGTTGTTTAAAATGCAATGTGCCAATATGTTTAGTCTTCGTTTTTTAGTGTGCAGCCAGATTAAGAATTTTTTTCCCCCAAGTTTGCCTTTTAAAAGTGTTAAGTAGAGAGGAAAGAGAGAAAGTCATATTGTCACTAAGATCCAAAAACAAAATAGTGATGAAACCACCAGACAAAGGTGGAGCTATAGGTATCCTCAACCATCAAGAATACATCAATGAAGCCAACAGACAAGTGTCCGACACCAAATACTATAAAGAACTTGGGGAATATCCCACAGAAGAATTTGCTCTGGAACTGGAAGATGTCATCAAATCTTTCCCATACCAGGTTTAGGAAAAGCTACTTCCACCTATTCCCCACTCTCCCACGCCAGGAATATGCTCCCAAAGATCCACAAACAAGGTAACCCTGACAGAGCCATCATATCCAATTGTGGGACCCTGACTGAAGAGCTATCAAGATTCATAGAAACAACCCTGAAACCACTTGTCACTAAAAGAGCAAGTTTTGTACAAGGCACCAGACTTCCTCAACAGAACATCAGCCACCTCCCTGAGAAGGCCATTCGTGCAACCAGACTATACACTAACATTG